CCTCTGCCTCCTGGACGGGGGACGTGACGGGGGGGATTGAGGAGAACCTCGAAGTATTCCTTCCACCGCCCGACAATATCCCCAGTCGAGGTCAGCAGCCCTCCACCCGCACCATACACGGTGTTGGCAAAGAACTGCTTCCCCCTCCTGAGGCGCCGGACGGTTTGCCAGAACCTCTTCGAGGCCGACCGATAGTCATGCTCCATGGACTCTCCGAACTCCTCCCAGTCCCGGGTTTTTGCCTCTGCAACAGCCCGGGCCGCGGCACGTTTGGCCTGCCGGTACTGGACAGCTGCCTCAGGAGTCCCACGAACCATCATTGCTCGATAGGACTCCTTCTTCAGCCTGACGGCATCCCTTACTGCCGGTGTCCACCACCGGGTTCGGGGATTGCCGCCGGGACCAGCACCAGAGACCTTGCGACCACAGCTACGAGCCGCCGCATTGGCGATAGAGGAAGAGAACATGGTCCACTCGGACTCGATGTCCCCCTCCTCTGCCGGGACCTGGGAGAAGCTCTCCCGGAGGTGTGAGTTGAAAGTCCGTCTGACAGGGGGCTCAGCGAGACGTTCCCAGCAAACCCTCACTACACGCTTGGGCCTGCCAGGTCTGACCGGCCTCCTGCCCTGCCAGCGGATCCAACTCACGACCAGGTGATGATCGGTTGACAGCTCCGCCCCTCTCTTCACCCGAGTGTCCGAGACACGCGGTCGAAGGTCAGATGATACGACTACAAAGTCGATCATCGACCTCCGGCCTAGGGTGTCCTGGTGCCACGTGCACTGATGGACACCCTTGTGCTCGAACATGGTGTTCGTGATGGACAGGCCGTGACTGGCACAGAAGTCCAACAACTGAACACCGCTCGGGTTCAGATCAGGGGGGCCGCTCTTCCCGATCACCCCTAGAAGAACACTTAGAAGCACTATGCAATAATTACTGTCCTATCTATGAAATATTTATTGAATTAATGGATATGAATAAAACACGTGTACTGAAAGCACGTTTGTAAGTTTAATAATAATCAGTTTTATACACTTAACATGTCATTATTCTTTCACTCCATACACCATGGTGCAAACTACTACTGTTACACTGGGGCACACTGAGACAAGCGAGGCAACCAGTCTGTGCCATCGGCCCTTTCGATCACCACCAACCACTCACCAGGCTCGTTCTGGGCCATGTAGGTGAAGTGTCGTACCCAAGAACACAACACCAGTTTGGCACTTTACAGCCACAGCAGCCCCATTGTGACACCTGGTGTTCCCAGAGGTCTCCCATCACAGTACTAATCAGGCCCTGCCCTCAGAGGGCTGACAGGATTGGCTTTCACAAAACTTGCATGTTTCCCTACAAAGCTAGGTGGGTTTTTTCCCATTTCTAATTACATGAAGTTGTTTTCATTACACCTGATTCTCTTGTTCTTCCAAAAAAATTCTTGATTCTTGAACTATTACTTTTTTTTTTTTCTAAAGTAATGTATTTTTTTTTTGGTTCCTTTTTCCCCAGTAAGGCCGAATACTGCAAAATACAACAAAAAGAGACATTTGAGCATGGACTGTCACTGCCCTCTGGTGCTTTTTTTGAAATATTACAAGCCTATAGGTTGACCTCAGATCAGACTGACATAAATCATTTATATCAATTTAACAATTTTTGTGTGGAAAAAAAACACTTTTGCTTTATCTGTTGCTGTTGCTTGCTCCCTCCTCCCTATGGGTAAATCCCGGAGGCATCCAAAACATACGAAAATTATTTTAAAAAAACATGGATTGTTATGTTATCGTTACTCAAATGCAAATTCTTTGGTGGTCTGATTAAAATATCCATGCATTTGAGATAATACAAATAAACATAATGACACGGAAAGAGAAGTGCTCATTAGGATAGGATTTTATTCATTTGAGGCGTCCAACGACAACTGAGAACTGGCTGTTTTCTATTTGTTGTTTTACTGACTGACAGGCTCAGTGCAATAAATGTAAAGACACTCAAGTCTTTGAGTCACGTATAAAAGTGGATGTGGTAGTTTTTCTGTGTGTGGAAGTATTTCAACACTTACTGCAGCGTGTTGTTGCAGAGTCAGTGAGAACAGGACACAACATGACCCTCAACTTCGCTCCAACAAACTGCAGACTTCATTAACAATGGTTGAGTTTGTGTCAATCACCGGTGTCCTTCTACTGCCCGCGATTGTGAGTACTAACATCACTAGTGTGCTTGCTGTAGAAACTCGTTTTTTGGATTTGGCTCTGGTTTAATGACTTTTTATGGTCCTTTATATGCATTTCACTGTCACTATTTTATCTATTTTGGGGGGGGGTCTATGGGGTTCTTGATGTCCTAGTTTCTGTCAGGTGGCGAGTATTTTTTGCATTTTAGTGCTACATTTAGACAAATACATACTTATAGATGACACGGTGGTGCAGCGGATAGAGCTTTTGTGTCACAGTAAGAAGGTCGTGGGTTCGATGACACCCCGGCCTTTCTGTGTGGGGCTTTTATGCCCCAGTGTGTTCTTCGTCTCGCTTCAGTCATCACTGTGTGGAGACAAAGTGCTTTACAATCTCAACAACTGACCTTGGTTTGTTAATGTGGTGTATAATAAAGATTACTTAGGTAATACATTTATGTCCTTTCCTTTCTGTACTTTCCTCTTACAGAGTACAATAACCAGTTACTTTGCAGATGACATAAAAATACAGCATATGATTAGCAATACCGCTAAGGAAATTAATATACTAGGACTAGCCATGTTTCTAAATTCAGACCATTCAGCTTAAGTTCAACATGTTTTGTTTATTCCTGTATTCTGCCAGTATGAAACTTAGTACAGTATGTTGTTTAAGTGATGTCAAAATATTGCTTACAACACCCTGTACTATTACTTTTGATACCAGAATTGATATTTCTACTCAAGCATTGACTGAAGTATGTAAGACTTGTACTTTTGCCAAATTAGGTTATTTGCAAGCTTCTGTTGAGCAACACTGACAGAGGAAAGAATTTATTCCAATGCAGAAAATACCAATACTTTTAGCTTGAGCTTTCTAAGAAAATTATACTGATAACGGCATCTCGTAAATATTCCAATAAAAAATATTTTGCATCATATCTTTAAACATTTCCTGGCTTCAGGCTGTTGTTGCTGAGGTGACAGAGAAAAGACGCTGGGTCGCGGCTCCGATCCGTCTGCGGGAGAATGTCGACTACACCCTGAAGAATTACATTGCATGGGTGAGACTGGTCCCAATTTATATTACATGAGATCTATCTTAATATGACATAATCAACCTTGTTATAATCATCATCAAAACCATAGTTGCTGGGTGTGACACATTGTGAAAATGACACAAAATTCAGAAATGGCAAAAAAGTTTAATGAAGGCATAAAGTAAAATCTAAGGTGCAAAAACTAAAACACCAGGAAAACAGACAAACATAGACAATGGACCAGCAACAAATGGGGATGAGCACAATGTGTTATTTTTTTATTTGATCGGGACAACACACATTAATGAAGAAACGTATACAAGTCGTACACAAATTGTAAATGTTCCAGATTATAGCGAAACTGCTTATTTACAATACAATACAATACAATACAATTTATTCTTGTATAGCCCTAAATCACAACAGAAGTCATCTCAGAGGCCTAAACAAAACCATTGAAATCACCAACACAGATCAGAGAATCAACAGTTAAAACACATAAAGAATATAGAACACATGTTGATGAATGTCCATACATGTTGTAGAATGTTAAAGTGACCTGGATCATCACCACAGTCCTTCTATTTGGACACTAACTGTCCAACAGACCCTCCTGCATCGGCAAGGAAAAACTCACAAAAACCCAGTGGGAAAAAGTGAGAATCCTGAGGGAGACCCCGGGAAACCCTCAGGGAGACCCATATTGAAAAAGGGATCCGCTCCTCCCGGACGGACAGGCTAATGATCTAGGACCTAAGCTAGCTACAGGACGTGGACCAGTGGCCGCTGAACGTGGACAGGTCCGGTGCAGGACTGAAGCACTCCCAGGCGGGTCGGGCAGGGCAGTCCGCAGGTGTAGATGGAGGAGGCCTGGCTCAGAGGTCCCGTCGTCTTACTATGAGACAGACAATGGGACAACGGGTGAATAGCAATGAACAGACTACAGTCAAAATCCTAACAATGCAAAACAGATAAAGTAGGAAGGAGGAGAGGATACTGCTCAAGTTACCATACTTCTCCCAGAAAACTGACTCCCTATGCAGCTTGACTGACAGTCTGAGGAGTTTAGCCTTCCCTGAGTCCTACCTTCCTATAGCCATATGCTAAACTAAAGAGGACTGTTTTAGCCTATCCTGGAACGTAGGGTTGAAGATGCAGCTGACCGCAGACTCCAAGACCGGATGCCAAATGCCAAGTTGAAAAAGAATGTTTTAAGCCTGGCCTTAAATGTAGAGACAGTGTCTGCTTCCTTAAAATGCGTGGGGAGCTGATTCCACAGTAGAGGGATTTGGTAACTAAATGCTCTGCCACCGACAGTGTTATTTACATCCGTAGTCCCGAGGCAGGTCACACAATAATAAGAATACAAAACACAATATACAACTATACAAGTTACATTTAGTTAAAATGAGTACAGGACTGATTTACTTTTACATGGTGTTTAAGTTACATGGTGTTTTTTAAAAGAGCTATAAATGTACATGTAGACAGAGACACAGGTGAAACACATGAGGGTGAGGCAGAAAAACAACACAAAGAAACTGGAGCAAGAAGTACTACTGAAACAAAACCTCAAGAGAACTCATGTTAAAACCAGGTCCCAAAATAGCGCTCCATGCTAACACGAGGAATGCACTTTGTTTAAGATCAGATCCACACAGGAGGTCAAACAAGAGGTTTTTTATTGTCTGAAAGGAGCTGGAGCTGACTCCCATCCATTTCATGTGTTTGTTGTGGCCTCCAAAACTGGACTGATTAAAGTGACCAGAATCCTAGATCGTGAAATGATTGACACCTACAATGTAAGAAAAAAGAAGACAACAACATTTTGACACGGTCCGTGTACTTTTGCGTTCAATACATTTTCTATTTTTGAAGGGAAATGGAAAATCGGAAAAAGGCTATTTTGCATTTTCAGGCACACAGCAATATACAAAAATTACCATTTTGGTTTTATTCATTGCTTATAAGCGGATTTAGGAACTAATTAACCTTTTTTTCTGTGTATTTATTACATTTCGGCGTCAATCTATTACCCGGGAGTAAAACAAGTTTGTTTACTTCAGCCCCATTCGCTCTAATTTAGTGTAATTTAAAACACAAATGACCGTCTGTGTTTGGACAAATACAGGAGGTCATTTGTGTTTTAAATTACACTAAATTATGATCAGACCTGCATTTGTACATTTACTTTGCACTCTGTCCTAAACTTAGACGTGTTGCTGCAGGCGTTACTATTTGTCGGCTCGCACTTATCTTAGCAGAGTAAGTGGTGCGTTCACGAGTAGTCCATACAAACTGTTATTAAACATTACAGACAGTATGGACCAGAGAACTGTAGAGCAGTAAAATGTTTGTCCTCATGGACCCTGTGGCTGCTGTGGTCAGACGCCAGACTTTATGAACTGCGTGAAGCGGGGAGACCCGCGCATGTGCGGCCGTTATTTGAGATGACTTTATGTGAAAATAGACGTCCTCTGTGATTATCACACATTATCAGAGGTCCACAGGTAATACTGATCCCGTGCGAGTAAACAGACTTGTTTCACTTCCGGATAATCGATTGACGCCGAAATGTATTAAATACATAATAAAAAAAGGTTAATTATTGCATTTTCTCTTTCCCAAATCCGGTTATTATAATATATATGTCTTATAAGCAATAAAAAAATAAAAAAGATCATTTTTGTATATTGCTGTGTGCCTGAAAATTCCCTTCAAAAACAGAAAATGTATTGAACGCAAAAGTACATGGACCACCCACAATCACAAACTTAATTCTTTCATTTCAGATCAGTGGATGTGCTGTAACAAAAAATGGAGAAACAATAGAGGATATCCTACACCTTCAATTCAAAGTGGTGGATGAGAATGACAACGCCCCGACTTTTCCAAGTGTCATTGAACCTGGAGAGGTGTTGGAACACAGTCCGGCTGGTGAGAGTTTACTTCTGCTCCTTTGAATCATAGACTGTAAATATTAACAAACGTAGTCACACCTTTCTCCGCCGTTAAAACTTATGTGCCTCAATTTTTTTCCTTTTGTGGGAAGTTTCAAAACTTCCCACAAAACTTTCACATTTTTAAGAAAATGTGAAAATTGCATTTGCATGCGTTAGCCGGCATTCATTTAACGAGTGCAAAAAAATACCCTACTCAGCATTGACACTAGGAGAATGACAATATATCAATTTTTCGATATATCGCGATACTTTCGCCTGCAATTGATTATTGAGATGCATTTTCCAAGTATCGATTTTGAGGAAAAAAAAGTATCAATACTTCATAAATGGCTACATTACACATTTCCATTCCATTTATCGTGAAATAAAGTGTATTTTTTCACTTAATTTTTTTCTATTTTATGTATGCCATATATTGGCATATGGTATATTGCTGACCAATATATCAATAATCATCCAATCGTGATATAATCGTTATTGTGAGCTTTGTATCGCGTATCGTATCGTATCGTGAGGTACCCTTAGGTTCCCACCCCTAATTGACACACATCTGGCATGTAGCGTTGGGCCAAGAGCCTACATTTGGACCATCCTGTAAAGCCATTTTCGAGAAGAAGGAAGACGCCATTCAAAATTCTATTTCCGAGTTCACCCCCACTGGCCTGGAGTTAGATGCATATCAGCGCACGTGCACTTGGACCTTCTTAAGCCGGGACCCGCCCCCACTGGTTTGAACAAACAGATGAAATAAACACATGAAAATAAAATGGAACATGAAGGCTGGAGTGAGAGCGACATCCTTTTCTTTTACTCCAGTTCAGCAATGCTTCATGTTATTTTTATTCACATTTTCAATTGAAATTTTTCAGTTTGATCAATCATTTGTTATAATGAAACAAATGTTTTTAACTTGATCTGCAGGAACTGAAGTGATGACAGTGACGGCCACAGATCTGGATGAACCAGGAAACCCAAACTCTCAGATGGTCTACAGTCTCCTGAAGCAGCAGCCTCCGAGCGATATTTTCTACATAATAATAATAATAATAATACATTTTATTTGTGGGCGCCTTTCAAAATTCCCAAGGTCACCTTACAGGCAGCATAAAAACAATATACAACACACATTAAAATACAAAAGATACAATACAATACGAGGCCCAGAAGTAAAATACAGTAGAGTGGCAAAGAGATAAGAGAAGTACGGAGGATTATGTGGGATAGGTGCGTCTGAATAGCTCAGTTTTGAGTCGAGATTTAAATGTGGTGATGGAGTCTATTGCACGAGTGTCTTGTGAGAGATTATTCCAGAGTTTGGGGGCAGAGCGGCTGAAGGCTCTGAGGCCCATGGTGGACATTTTGGCTGGAGGGACAGAGAGTAGAGAGGCAGAGGAGGAGCGGAGTGGGCGGGAGGGTGTGTACGTCTGAAGGAGATCAGACAAGTATGGAGGTGCGAGGTTATGAAGTGCTTTGAAGGTGAGAAGAAGAATTTTGTATTCAATACGGGAGAGAATAGGTAACCAATGAAGCTGTTTGAGAATAGGAGTGATGTGCTGGGCAGAAGGAGTTTTGGTGATGATGCGTGCTGCTGTGTTCTGGACCATTTGAAGTTTATGGAGGGATTTGTTTGGTAAACCATAAAGGAGTGAGTTGCAATAATCAAGACGGGATGTGACCAGGGCATGAACCAGTGTAGCTGTGCTGTTAGGGGTGAGAGACGGACGTAGACGGTTGATGTTGCGGAGATGGAAGTAGGCGGACCGGGTGATGTTGTTTATGTGTGCTGTGAAGGAAAGGGTGCTGTCGAGGATGACACCCAGACTCTTAACCTGAGGGGAAGGGGGGATGGTGCAGTTATCAACAGTGATGGAAAGATTATTGGATTTAGTGAGTGTATGTTTGGATCCCACAAGGAGGAATTCTGTTTTATTACAGTTGAGTTTGAGGAAATTGTGGGAAAACCAGATTTTAATGTCATTAAGACAATCAGAGAGGGCTGAAGGGGGGAGAGTGATCGTGGGCTTGGAGGAGAGGTAGAGCTGGGTGTCATCCGCGTAACAGTGGAAGTTAATGTTGTATTTTCTGAATATATTGCCGAGAGGGAGGAGGTAGATAATAAAAAGCAATGGCCCCAGGACAGAGCCCTGGGGCACACCGCCCGTGACAGTGGAGAGTTTCGATTTATGATTTTGGAGTTGGACAAATTGAGAACGGTCAGAAAGGTATGAGGTGAACCATGAGTGTACTGTATTGCATAAGCCAATGGAGGTGAGCCGGTTGAGGAGGATTGGATGTGAGATTGTGTCAAAAGCAGCTGTGAGATCCAGGAGAATGAGTATGGTGAGGAGTCCAGAGTCTGCTGCTAAAAGAAGGTCATTTGTTATTTTGATGAGTGCTGTTTCAGTGCTATGGGATGAACGAAATCCGGATTGGAATTTTTCATAAAGATTATTGTTTGCGAGATGGTTTTGGATTTGTGAGGCAACTGACTTTTCCAAAATCTTGCTAATGAACGGGAGGTTGGATATTGGTCTAAAATTGTTGAAATCGGTCTGATCTGAGCCAGCTTTTTTGGGAATTGGCGTTATAACTGCTGTTTTGAGAATAGGTGGAACAGAACCAGTGGTGAGGGATGCATAAATGATGTTGGTAATGAGGGGAGAGAGCGATGGAAGACAGGATTTCACAAGATTAGTTGGCAGGGGATCAAGTATGCAGGTAGAAGATTTCGATTTGGATATCAGAGAGTGTATTTCCGGCACAGTTGGAAGTTGGAACGTGGAGAGAGTTGAGGGATTGGTCAGGAATAGGGATGAGCAGTGAGTGCAAACGGATGGATCACATGAAGAGAGTTGTTGATGGATATTAATTATTTTAGAATTGAAAAAGTCCAAGAATTTATTGCAAAGAGCGGGTGAGTGTGTGGTGGCAGTGGATGCGTCAGGTGGATGTAGAATGTTGCGCATAGAAGAGAAGAGTGCTCTGGAGTTGCCTGAATTGGTATTTATAATTGATGCAAGGTAGTTAGACTTAGTATTGGCAATAGTGTTCTTGTAAGTGATTAGATGGGAGTGATACATTTCCTTATGTATTGACAGTCCAGTTTTACGATATAGACGCTCAAGACGGTGACCAATAGATTTCAGTTCATGCAGCTCTTGAGTAAACCATGGCGAAGAGAGGGAGAAGGATACAGTTCTTGTTTTTAATGGTGCTAAGGAGTCCAGAATTTGATGGAGTTCATTATTATAAAATGAAGTGAGTTCCTGTGGAGTGACCATGTTATCTCGGCTTGGGAGATTATTTAGTTCTGTGGTAAGTGATGAGAGATTAATGTTTTTTATATTTCTGAATGTGATCTGACGGGTAGAAGATGTTTTGAACAGTGGCAGGTTGAGACCAAATGAAATAAGCTTGTGGTCAGAAACCAGAATGTCCAGAAAAGAGATGTTAATGGGGGAGATGCCAGTGCAGCAAATCAGATCCAGAATATGGCCTTTTACATGTGTGGGAGAGTTTACGTGTTGAGATAATGAAAAACTGTCTAGACAGGAAGAAAAATCTTTGGTAGTTGTATTGTTTACATTGTCCATATGAATATTGAAGTCACCAACCAAAATTACATTTGAGGACAGAGAGCAGACTGTGGCTAAAAAATCTGTAAAATCAGTTAAAAACTCGGGATTAGGCTTGGGGGGACGATAGACAGCAGCTAAGATTGTGGGAATGCGGCCTTTGATCTGTATGACAAGTGATTCAAATGAGCTATAGACCGGTGTAGTGACTGCAGTTGCTCTGTACCTCTCGTTGTACACTATCGCGAGACCACCGCCGCGTCCAGAGGCACGGGCTTGACAGACGTAAACAAACCCATGTGGTGTTGTAGCGTTGAGCTCAGCGTACTCGTTAGGACGTTGCCATGTCTCAGACAGACAAAGAAAATCAAGTTTGTGGTCCGTGAGGAGATCGCGAACAAGATAGCCCTTGTTACTGAGAGACCTGATGTTCAACTGTGCCACGGAGACGAGGTGGTCACCGGCTCTATCGCTCCCTTCCTTTGCTAGCCGGGCTAGCAGGCTGTGATCCACAGTCCGCCTGCCAGGCTTCCTCGCCGGACGGCGAAAGGAAGACCACGTAGAAGGTATCGGGTTCGTCGTGTCGATGCAGTTGATTCTTCTGGATCCCCGATGGACGTATTTTCGCCGCGGAGGCCAGGCGATGTCCAGATGCTGGAGTATTGCAGGGGGCGGCGCATGGTAACGGGGGAGACGAAGCTGAAGAAGTTCTGCTGCACAGTACCGCAAGGACAGGTACGCAGGCTGGATTATGGAGAGCAGAACCAAGCCTCCGAGGAGAGCCCAGAGGATAGCAGCATTCCAGTTCATGATGCCCCACAGCAACAGGGTGACCGGGAAGCTAGTAGTTAGCCCAGGTAGCCAACAGATGACCAGTGACAGGTAAGGAGATCGCCGACCATAAATGAAAGAATATCAGGCGTAAACTTGTCCAGATGCTGTAGTTGTTATATGTCAGTTTTACGAGTTGAAAACACAACAAGCCGGAATAAATAAATCACAGTTTGTGGGGGAGGGAGCAGCGGCAACAATCATGCCAGCGTTCACTTCCACTCCCCGGAAGTGGAAGCCAAATGGGACAATCTACGTGAAGAGAGACATTCCTGACAGAGAGGTAACTGTCAAGAATGAACCAGACAGAGACGGATCGTGGTGCGCCAAGCTCTGGAAGTTTATTAAGCCTAGTGTATACTTGCGCGGCGCGGCTTACGTTAGCGGTTGCGGTGGACCTACGCAAGCACATTTGTGTTTACACTCCTTGGGGAGTTTTGAGGACAATGTTGTAATTCCACAACCAACCACATGATGGCGAGCTCACAGGAGTTGCATGAGAAACCAAAGCGGTCTAATTTACACTGCTACTTTCTCCTCTTCAGAACAAAAACATGAACAAACCGAGCTGTTTAAGCTCATTACACGTGTTTCTACTGTAGGTTTATGTAATAGTTCTATGGACTCATTATTTCTTAACTCATTTAACTGTGATGTTGTGAATAAAGACACAGTTGGAAACAGTTATTATTAAATTGAATTCAGCACAAAAACAGCAAAACAATCTATTTGTGGAAATATTTCGACATCCACTGCAGCGTTGTTGTTGCAGAGTCAGAGAGAACAGGACACGGAATTCGCTCCAACAAACTGCAGACTTCATCAACAATTTGCTTAAGACTGTACTTTATCTGTATTTACTGTATCTATTACATTCGGACAATTTTTTACATTACTGCTTACCTTCAAACCCATTTATCTCTGATTACATTCTAAACAATTCTTAGCCAGGCTTCAATGTCAATAAATTTGCTTTGGTTAGACATGATTCTAATTCAGATCATTCAGCTTAAGTTCGGCATGTTTAGTTTATTGTATATCAGTTATTCTATCAGTATATCAGTTATTCTAAAAAAATTAGTATACTTTTTGTCTCAAGTACTCATGTACAGGATTTGAAAACAATTATTTTCCGGATGATATTTATACTTGTTAGCATTTACTGAAATACATAGGACAAGAACTTTAGCCAAATCTGGTTATCTGTAAATAATTGATTCTAAATACCAATACTTTTACATTTTGCTTTTATACAAATCACTGTAAAGCAAGATCTAATAAATATTTCTATTTTTGCAACATAAAAACTTGGCATCATATCTCATGTATTGTCTTCAGGCTGTTGCTGCTGATGTGAGAGGGAGAAGACACTGGGATAGGTCTCGTTTGGTCCGTCTGCGGGAGAATGTGGACTACACCAGAATGGATTACATTGGATGGGTGAGACTCAGGCTGGTCCTGATTTATAACTTAATATTATGTGAATTCAACTATTTGAATCCCTTAACATGTCACAATCATCGTCAAAGCCATAGAAGGTTCTGGTGGAGCTCTCCATGCTAACATGAGGAATGCACTTTGTTTCAGATCATGTCCGATAGGAAGTTCACTCCAGATGTCCAGTATTTTCTGGAAGGAATTGGAGTCAATTTGGCCCCATTTAATGTGTTTGTTGTGGACTCCCAAACTGGATTTATTAAAGTGACCAAAATCCTGGATCGCGAGCAGATTGACATCTACAATGTAAGAAAAAAGAAGAAAAAACATGGATACACAGAATCACAAATGTAATCTTTCATTTCAGCTCAGTGGATTTCTCAAAAACATACATGGGCAATTATTGGAGGAAAGAGTAGACCTTCAAATCAAAGTGTTGGATGGGAATGACAACGCCCCGACTTTTCCAAGTGTCATTGAACCTGGAGAGGTGTTTGAACACAGTCCGGCTGGTGAGAGTTTACTTCTGTTGTGTCAGAGATCTGCTCATTTGAATTAACAGATGAAATAAACAAACGCACCATGAACATGTGACGGGACATGACTGGAGTGAGAGCAACATCCTTTGCATCATGAGATTTTAATTCACATTCTCAATAAAATTCACACTGAAATTTCCCCATTGTGGGACGAATAAAGGACCTTCTTCTTCTTCTTCAATAAAATGTTTCAGTTTGATAGATCATTTTGTCATTATGAAGGAGGCCGTGATCATTTATGTCAAAGTATTTTTTTTTTTTTTTTACTTGGTCTGCAGGAACTGAAGTGATGACAGTGACGGCCACAGATCTGGATGAACCAGGAAACCCAAACTCTCAGATGGTCTACAGTCTCCTGAAGCAGCAGCCTCCGAGCGATATGTTCTACATGAAGCCAAATGGGACAATCTACGTGAAGAGGGACATTCCTGACAGAGAGGTAAGACTGACGTAAACTGTAACCTGTAAGTTTATTTTGGGAGAACTACACATAAGCACCACATCTGGACAGACTGCACTGTCCGTCAAAGAGACTCTATTAGAATAGTTCTTCTATTGTTCAAACCACATCCTAAACAATCTGAGAGAATCATCGTCTTCTCTGCTTCAGGACAACAGATTTGCTAAAACCGCAGACGTATCTTCACTGTTTTACAGATTATTACTGTCAAATACTCTGTTTACTGTTTTATGTTGATTTTTCAGACCATGGATCATTACGTCCTGACAGTCCAAGCTCAAGATCTGAATGGTGATCCAAGCGGCCTGACCGGGACAAGTGCAGTTACTGTCAATGTTCAGGACATTCATGAGTCAGAACAGGGACAGAAGAATATGACTAAGGATGCAGAGGTCCTGGGTCGTGCCTAAGCAGAAGACTTGTTTTATTGTTGGAACACCACAAAAGCAACACGACCAGAGTTTCACAGCGTTCACCCACTTAGTTGAATAATCTCCCCCTTTGAGGCAGGTGGCCTCACAGAGCTGCCTGGTGCGATAGATAGATACTTTATTGATCCCCGTAGGAGAAAATTCAGGTGTCCTGTAGCAGCAGAAACACATGCATCCATATAAACAAAACAAATAAATAGATAATTCTAAAAATAGCTAACAATAGTATTAAATTGCATCAAAGTTGTGTGCATTGATACAGTGCCTGTAATATCTTAACATGATACTGACTTCCCATTCTGTTTTGTGTGCAAGTGTGCTTTTAGGAAACCATAGTTCCTATTGTGCAAACTAGAGGGTTCAAGCAGCGGCCTGTCATTTCAGAGGAATTCTGTTTGTGTAATCTCAGCTGCATTTGAACAAGTACAAACACAATTAAAGCTGCAAGTGGCAATAAAGCCCTTGCCTTCCATGCAGCATTGTCCTGGACCCCGGATCTCCCCCATGTTTCTACCCCTCAAACCCCTCAATCTAGCGCCAAGGCCTCTCTCAGCCCCCTCCACCATTCACTTACAGTATTGCATTAAACTTAAATCGCCATTTGATTCATGTTTGAATTTCAAAGCTCACTCCATAATCGGTGTGATTTTTTTTTCTCAAAAAACCAGTTGTATACGATTAGACACTTGTAATGCACATGTCCATCCACTAGAGGCCAGTAATTTGGGCTAACATAATTTCAAATTGAAACTTTTTAAGGTGAAAAAACTTTAAAATTGTTACTGATACTTACACTTTAAAACATTTTACAACTTAATGTATAGTAAAGCCATGTTGAATTTGTCTGTATGAAATTCAATACAGCGGGTATTCACGGTACGGTTTTTTTATGTTTCATGCATCAAATAAAGCAAAACCCAGTTTGTTATCTTCCATCCATCCATCCATCCATCCATTTTCTTCCGCTTTATCCGTTGCCGGGTCGCGGGGGCAGCAGTCTAAGCAGAGACGCCCAGACTTCCCTATCCACACACACTTCCTCCAGCTCGCCCGGGGGGACCCCAAGGCGTTCCCAGGCCAGCTGAGAGACATAGTCCCTCCAGCGTGTCCTGGGTCTTCCGCGAGGCCTCCTCCCGGTGGGACATGCCCGGAACACCTCCCAGGGAGGCGTCCAGGAGGAATCCGGAACAGATGCCCGAGCCACCTCAACTGGTTCCTCTCGACGTGGAGAAGCAGCGGCTCTACTCCGAGCTCCTCCCGTGTGACTGAGCTCCTCACCCTATCTCTAAGGGAGCGCCCAGCCACTCTGCGGAGGAAGCTCATTTCGACCGCTTGTATCCGCGATATCGTTCTTTCGGTCATTACCCAAAGCTCATGACCATAGGTGAGGGAGGGAACGAAGATTGACCGGTAAATCGAGAGCTTTGCCTTTCGGCTCAGCTCCCTCTTTACCACAACGGTCCGATACAGTGACCGCATCACTGCGCACGCTGCACCGATCCGCCTGTCAATCTCACGCTCCATTCTTCCCTCACTCGTGAACAAGACCCCGAGATACTTGAACTCCTCGACTTGAGGAAGGACCTCTCCACCCACCTGTAGAGGGCAAGGCACCTTTTTCCGGTCGAGCACCATGGCCTCGGATTTGGAGGTGCTGATTCTCATCCCAGCCGCTTCACACTCGGCTGCAAACCGCCCCAGTGCATGCTGCAGGTCCTGGTTCGTTGGAGCCAACAGGACAACATCGTCTGCAAACAGCAGAGATGAAATCCTGTGGTCTCCAAACCGGACCCCCTCCGACCCCTGGCTGCGCCTAGAAATTCTGTCCATAAATACAGTGAACAGAACCGGTGACAAAGGGCAGCCCTGTCGGAGGCCAACATTCACCGGGAACAGGTCTGACTTACTGCCGGCAATGCGAACACCGCTCTGGCTCCGGTCATACAGGGATCGGATGGCCCTCAGCAGAGGACCTCCGACCCCGTACTCCCGGAGAACCCCCCAAAGGGCACCCCGGGGAACACAGTCAAACGCCTTCTCCAAATCCACAAAGCACATGTGGACAGGTTGGGCGAACTCCCATGAACCCTCGAGTATCCGATGGAGAGTATAGAGCTGGTCCAGTGTTCCGCGACCGGGACGAAAACCACACTGCTCCTCCTGGATCCGAGATTCGACCATCGGCCGTAGCCTCCTCTCCAGTACCTTGGAGTAGACCTTACCGGGGAGGCTGAGGAGTGTGATCCCACCATAATTGGAACACACCCTCCGGTCCCCCTTCTTGTAGAGAGGGACCACCACCCCGGTCTGCCACTCCATTGGCACCGCCCCCGATCGCCACGCGATGTTGCAGAGACGTGTCAGCCAAGACAGTCCTACAACATCCAGAGACTTTAGATAATCAGGGCGGATCTCATCCACTCCCGGAGCCTTGCCACCATGGTGGCTGCCAACCACCTTGGTGACCTCAGCCAGGGAGATGGATGTATCCGCCCCAACATCCTCAGCCTCTGCCTCTGTAACAGAGGACGTGACGGGGGGATTGAGGAGAACCTCAAAGTATTCCTTCCACCGCCCGACAATATCCCCAGTCGAGGTCAGCAGCTCTCCACCCGCACCGTACATGGTGTTGGCAAAGAACTGCTTCCGCCTCCTGAGGCGCCGGATGGTTTGCCAGAATCTCTTCGAGGCCGACCGATAGTCATGCTCCATGGACTCTCCGAACTCCTCCCAGTCCCGGGTTTTTGCCTCTGCAACAGCCCGGGCCGCGGCACGCTTGGCCTGCCGGTACTGGACAGCTGCCTCAGGAGTCCCCCGAACCATCATGGCTCGATAGGACTCCTTCAGCCTGACAGCATCCCTTACTGCCGGTGTCCACCACCGGGTTCGGGGGTTGCCGCCGGGACCAGCAGCAGAGACCTTGCGACCACAGCTACAGCTGTCCCCCTCCTCCGCCGGGACCTGGGAGAAGTTCTCCCGGAGGTGTGAGTTGAAAGTCCGTCTCACACGGGGCTCAGCGAGACGTTCCCAGCAGACCCTCACTATACGCTTGGGTCTGCCAGGTCTGACCGGCTTCTTCCCCTGCCAGCGGATCCAACTCACGACCAGGTGATGATCGGTTGACAGCTCCGCCCCTCTCTTTACCCGAGTGTCCGAGACACGCGGTCGAAGGTCAGATGATACGACAACAAAGTCAATCATCGACCTCCGGCTTAGTGTGTCCTGGTGCCACGTGCACTGGTGAACACCCTTGTGTTCGAACATGGTGTTTGTGATGGACAAACTGTGACTGGCACAGAAGTCCAACAACTGAACACCGCTCGGGTTCAGATCAGGGGGGCAGAATAAAAAGCACGATACAATGTAATACAAAATACACATACACTGAATATAAAATAATAAAAAAACAGCTGACACTGTGGCACCGATCAACAAAACGATACAAGGAGTAAAAGCAGGAATTAAAGTGCTCTGTTTAGGCACCTAACAGCCTCTGGAAAGAAGCTGTTAGTTTCTGTTAGCTTCTTTCCACGTAATAAAATAGGATGTTTTTTTCAGATGGAAAAAAAATAATGCAGCATTGAGGATGTTGTGAAGATGATTATCAATAGGCATTCGGGTGACATGAAGGAATACATTTTTATAAAAATATAGATACTTTTTTTCTGATAGAAAACACAAATTTTTTATGTGGATGGTTCTGTTCATACTTGCGAACAAATACCTGATGTATCAAAAGTGATGCAAATATTGCAGATTGAAATTTTATTTTTTGATTTATATTTATGTTACAGGGCTCAGTAATCTCACCAGTCTCCAAATATGATAATTTTCTGGCATTTATTTCATGGACTGAGCTTTATAGGGTTAAAATACATGCTTTTTTCTTTAGCAAATTTATGGCCAATAACAAAACATATGAAGATTGTAGCTCAAGAACTTTAAACACATTTTCAAAACAGAGATATTAGAAAATAGAGAGATATTTGTTTTTTTAAATGAACTCTAATAACAAACTTGAGAGACTATAGCTGGAATGTACATGTACTGTATATAGGCTGTGAAAGGGGACCCACTCCTGTTTAAATTTGCACTGAGAAAAGTTGTTCTTACGCCACACACAGATCATTCAATGAGAAAGTTGGTGAGAGACAGTAGTCACAAACCTAAATATTATTCATCTTTTCAAACATTGTAATTATAAATTGTGACACACTATTGAAAATAATAGGGTTCTGAATGTACTGTGTCTGTGGAGGGGAGTGTTCTAAGCTGGAACTTGAGTCGTCCTCCACACCCATCCTCCGCAGATACTGAAACATGTAATTATGAAATACACACCGACACTAACGGCACGGAGCCTCTAACACCAAAGAACAGGACAATTGCTGGGTTTTGATTAAGGCATACAGCCATCATTTAAATGTATTATGAAATTAAATAGATGCTTATGCTCTGAGGAGTGAGTGAAGAGGCCTTCCCCATATTATTTTCTGTTTTGACTTTGGGAGAGGTTAGATTTGAGACATTCAAATTGCAGCTGGTAGAATCTGTCTGGAATATTATCTGAAATTGCTGTAAACAAAATGACTTTCCTTTGATCTATCTTGGTTAAGCTATAGACCTTTTCTCACATATTTTGTTTCTATTTACTTGTGTTCTTATTTACGTTTGTGCCTTTTTTATATTTTGTAATTTATTCAAGTTTTCATCTTTATATTTCAGTGAACTTAAGGTCAAACATTCAAGATGTCAAATGTAATATACAGTACAGCAATACATTCACAGAGCTACAGGTTTACATACAACATAAACACAGACATAGGTCAGTAAGTCAGTGACGCCCCTCACCCTCCCACCTAACACCTCTCATCTATTCATCTTCCCGCCTCAGAAAGATAGATAGATAGATACTTTATTGATCCCCGTAGGAGAAATTCAGGTGTCGAGTAGCAGCAAAAGTAAAAAATAAAATTTGT